AAAATTAAACTGACACATAACTCCACATTTAACGTTTATTCAACAAAACTCCCACGTAAACTTAAATGCTTCTGCCATCCTTCATGCCGATCAATTTCTTGTAGTTGTCAAGGAGTACCGTCGGTAGTGGTTTCGTGAAGATATCCGCGACTTGCTCTTGACTGGTCACGTGTGTTAGCTCCACATTTCCTTCCTTTACTTGATCCCGGATGAAGTGAAATCGGACGTCAATATGCTTGCTTCTTTCATGATTTACCGGGTTCTTGGCTAGCTCTATAGCCGACTTATTGTCAATTCGGATCACAGTTTGGCCGACTTGTTTTTCCTCCAGCTTGCTTAGCAAATTCCTGAGCCACATTGCATGACAAACACACCAAGATGCAGCTACATATTCAGCTTCACATGTCGACAGTGTCACAATAGGTTGCTTCTTTGAAATCCAAGTGAATGTCGTGTTGCCCATGAAAAACACATAACCAGCCGTGCTCTTTCGATCATCTACGTCTCCACACCAATCACTGTCAGAATATCCAATCAACTTGTATTTTGCCGAGCTCGAGTAGTGTAACCCGTGTGAAACTGTACCTTGAACATACCTCAGAATTCTCTTTACCGCCTTCCAATGTGTGTATCTTGGCTCCTCCATGAACCGACTTACTATGCCGACACTCAACGAGATATCCGGCCTCGTGCATGTGAGATAGCGTAGGCTTCCCACCAAACTTCTGTACTTGCTTGCATCAACACGGTCTCCTCCATCAAACTTAGAAAGTTTTGAACCGGGTTCCATTGGTGTTGAAACCGGGTTGCAATCTTCCATCTTGTACTTTTTCAAAATCTTTTTTGCATAAGCCTCCTGTGACACGAAAATTCCCTTCTCATTTTGTTTTACTTCCAAACCGAGAAAGAACTTCATAAAACCGAGATCTGTCATTTCGAACTCTCTTGTCATTGTGCTCTTGAACTCTTGTATCATCTTGGCATTGTTTCCCATAAAAATGAGGTCGTCAACATAAAGAGCCACAATTAACAAGTCTCCTCCATTTTTCTTGACATAAACAGCATGTTCATATGGACATTGTTCAAGTCCATTCTCCTTGAAATATTTGTCAATACGAGCATTCCATGCTCGTGGTGCTTGCTTCAACCCGTAAAGTGCTTTCTTCAATCTCAGCACCTTCTTCTCTTCTCCTGCCTTCATGTAGCCCGACGGTTGTTCCACATAAACTTCTTCTTCAAGAACACCATTCAGGAATGCCGACTTTACATCCATTTGATGTATTGGCCATCTGTATTGAGCAGCCTGTGAGATGAGTAGCCGAATTGTCTCCATCCTTGTAACAGGGGCAAACACCTCGTCATAGTCAATTCCAGCCTTCTGCTTATAACCTTTTGCAACTAGCCGAGCTTTATATCGTTCTATCTCCCCTTGAGCATTCATCTTCTTCTTGAACACCCACTTCACTCCAATGGGCCGACTTCCTTTTGGTAGCTCGGCTAACTCCCATGTGTTATTTCGGTCAATGGCTTCTATCTCCTCATCCATGGCGTCTTGCCATTTCTTATCTCGGATGGCTTCTTCAAAGCTTATATTTTCAGAATCTGCAAGAAGACAAACAAAATGTACCTCACTTGTTGACTCATATATGTCTTGTATGCTCCGCATCCTGGGTTGTCGTACCTCGTCTTCATCATCAGAAGCTTCAGGACTTGCCGGGTTGATAATTTGTGTTGTGATTCCGTCTTCAAAGTTTATCTCAGATGAATTGCTCCAGTCCCACTCATTTGCTTCATTGAGCTTTACATCTCTGCTCACTATGACTTTCTTGTTGACGGGGTCAAACAGCTTATACCCCTTTGTTTTTTCATCATATCCAATAAAAACATATTTCTTGCTTTTATCCTCGAGCTTGGTTCTGAGCTGGTCCGGTATGTGTGCATAGGCCACACTACCAAAAACTCTGAGATGAGCCACTGAAGGCTTTTGACCGCTCCATGCTTCCTGTGGTGTTTTGTCATCCAAGCTTGAATGTGGACATCGGTTCTGCACATACACAGCACACTGCACAGCTTCCGCCCAAAACTCCTTCGGCATCCTTTTGTTCTTCAGCATTGACCGAACCATGTCAAGAATAGTCCGGTTCTTCCTTTCAGCCACGCCATTCTGTTGTGGTGAGTATGGTGCTGTTAGAAACCTCCTTATCCCCTGTTCCTCACAGAACGACATAAACGCTGTTGAGGTATATTCCCCACCTCTGTCAGACCGCACCGATTTGATATAGCTTCCTGTTGCTTTCTCAATCATCACCTTGAACTTTTTGAACACATCAAACACCTCGGACTTCTCCTTCAGAAAGTAAACCCAAGTTTTCCGTGAGAAATCATCAATAAAGGAAATAAAATACTTCTTACCGCTGAAGGAACCCGGATTGATGGGTCCACACAAGTCGGTATGTATTAGTTCCAGAGGTTGCTTAGCCCGGAATCTTGCCATCTTCTGAAACGTGGTCCTGGCATGCTTGCCAAGTACACAACTCTCACAAAACTTTCCTTCAAAGTTTATGTCAGGTAACCCGTCCACCATCTTTTTCTCTGCCAACTTGGTTAGACCACCATAATGTAGGTGACCAAACCGGAGATGCCAAAGTGACGCCTTATCTTCTACCTCGGCTTGTAAACATTCAACCTGTACACATTTCAAATTCAGTTTATACATACGATTCTTACCCATTTGAACTCGGACTATCATCCGACCTTGCTCATCTTTCAAATACAATACCCGGTCTTTCATAATAACCGAGTAACCTTTCTCCATCAGTTGACCCATGCTTAAAATATTGCTTTTTAGGTCGGGTACATAGTACACATCTCGAATTGAGCCAATTAACCCGTCCTTTTGTAGGAAACAGATCGTACCTCGGCCTTTTACCTCAACCTTTGAGGCATCCCCGAACGAAACATGTCTGGTTTCCACTTTTATCATCTCCTTGAAGAAGTGTTTATGTCCACACATGTGGTTGCTCGCACCCGTGTCAAGATACCACTCCATGTCATCGTCAGGACTTCCTTCACTGTGTGTCATTAACAAGACACCATCCTTCATCTCACCTTCTGTGGCTAGGTTGGACGTCTCCTCCACCTTTTTCTCCTCTCTGCATTCTCTTGCGAAATGTTCGACTTTGCCACAGTTGTAACACTTGTCCAAGTTACAATCTTTCGCATAGTGACCAAACTTTCCACATTTGTGACACTCGATGTTTGAATAATGTGACCGACCTCCTTGTCGACCTCGTCCTCGTCCTCTCCAGTTTTGTTGATTTGACTGTCCTACCTCATCACCATACACTTCTTGACTTCGGCCTCGACCTCTACCACCACGGCTAGTACCTCGTCCACTGCAGCCACGTCCTCTACCTCGGAAACTTTGAGAATAGAGCATCTTCTCATCTTTAATTGTTGCTTTGGTATGAAGTACCTGCTCAAGAGTTTCCTCCTTCTTCTTCTTTCTTTGTTCATGCGCTTCAAGGGAACCCGCCAACTCGTCAATGGTGAGTGTAGACAGATCCTTGGACTCCTCTATCGCACAAACCACGTTTTCGAACTGGTCTGTCAAAGATCTCAAGATTTTCTCCACCACTCTGGTGTCAGGTATATCTTCTCCATTCCGTTTCAACTGGTTCACAATTCCTTGAACCCGGGCAACGAACCCGGATACTCCTTCTGTGTCCTTCATCTTCATTCCCTCCAACTCGGCACGAAGGGTTTGAAGCCGGACTTGTTTAACCCGGTTAGCTCCTCTATAGACATTTGCCAAGATGTCCCAGGCTGCCTTTGAGGTCTCACAATTTGCTATCTTCTCGAACCCGGATTCGTCTACAGCTCGGAAGAGCATGAATAACGCCAGCTTGTCTTTTGCACGCGTCTCTTTCAACGCTTTAGTTTGAGCCGCCGAATAGCCTCCAGTATCCTGTGGTTCTACAAAACCTGCTTGAACATTCTCCCAAGCGTCCTGGGATCCGAGAAGAGCCTTCATCTGGATGCTCCAATTCTCGTAGTTCTCCTTCGTCAACTTAGGTAGTGCCATATCACTCCCCCTTTCCATAGCTCTGATACCAATTTGTTAGGAGAAGAGTAAAACAAATGATTTTTACTAAGGCAGAAGTCGTAACTTTTACGTTCAAACAATAGATTTTTAAATTACAAAACTTGTAACTCTACAATAAAGACACTTAACATCACAATAAACTCCCATAATTTCAGAAACTTAAAAACATAAAACTGACATTTAACGTTTGCTGAATTAAACCCATTAAAAACTAAATTGATTGCTGAATTAAACCCATTAAAAATTAAACTGACACATAACTCCACATTTAACGTTTATTCAACACTAAGCTACTACTATTGGCTAATAAAAGTTTTTTTTCTTCCAGAACATGTTAGTTATTTGTACATGTATATAGTTGACAAGTTCAACGGGGCACCTAGGGGTACAGAATCGAGTAAAGCACTTTTAAATATTCAAAAGTAATTAAAAAGATATATATTAAAATAACTAATGTACTGTTATAAGCATTATTTAATGCATAAAGAAATAACTTTATATTATTTGAAAAGCAATCACTGGGGTCCTTGAACCGTAGATGATAAAATTGTAGCGCGTTTGATGTGAAATTTCAAAGAAAAAGTAACTTCAAAATCCAAGGTTTGAGTTTGAATGTCCGAAAAGGTAACTTGTGGTGTTGTTCTCTTGCTCCATGTTTTGTTTTTTAGCTCAGCATTTTCTTGTTGGTTTCATGTTCTAATTCCAAGTGTACACAACCATTAAGGAATGGAAACATGTGCAAGGACTCATTCAAAGTCCCAGCCTCAGATTGCATGGAAATTGTTGTCCCTTTGGCGCCGTACGGTGACCCCAGCCTATAAAAATTCTCAAGCTTTGATGCTCTCCCTCAACTAAGAATCATTGCATTTTGGTGATTCTCTTTTTGTGTTGATTCATGATGATGAGGTTCAGAGCTTGCAAGCTTTATTCTTCTTCTTTTTCTTGCCTTATGGCACCTTCTAAATTGTTCCTCACATCTTCCTCTTCTTCTGTTGTTCCTCCATTTCCAGTCAAAGCTTTTCTTGGCTCTACCATCCCTCAAACTCAAGGTAATGTTTAGGATTAGCGTGATCATTCAATGGCACGTAACCAATTCTCCCAAAAGTTTAAACCGTTTAATATAAGACACATGATTTTATTATATCTCTTAAAGACACCTTCTCACACGAGAACCCTCTGAAGTATAGATAATTTTTACCTTGAGTTGGAATTTACTTTCTTTAGTTATTAGAAAATGAACGCAGAACAAACTCTAAACCAGTTAGTTATAGGTAGTGATATATACCTTCTCATGTGACCGGTTCTCCCAAAAGTTTAAGCTGTTTAGGAGAAGACCCATGAATGATTTTATTTGATCTCTTAATATTCAATATTGGATTGTTGTTTTTGAGCATTACTCATTTATTAATGTGTCACCTCTTTTAGGCTACAAGAACACTAGTGTTCTTTTCCCAAGAGCCTCTTCAGCTTCTTTGACCAAGGAAGAGGAAGTTCAAGGTAAAGGCATTGGATTACTCAGAGCGGTTGAGGACAGACATGGGGGAGTTATTGTAACCATGGAAGACCCTATGGATTCCTTAGTTTTTGCTTCTTTGTTAGAAGCTTCAATATCACATTGGAAGGGACAGGTAGATTTCAAAGTAATAACAACTTTGTAATGTTCAGTAATAATAACTTTCTAATGTTCAAAATGTGGTTTTTTTAGGGAAAGAAGGGAGTGTGGATCAAGTTGCCAATTGAACATTCAAATCTTGTGGATGCTGCTGTTAAGGTAAAGAGTTATTTTCTATTAAATAGCTTAGAAGTTACCAGAATCCTTAGAAGCCATTTTGTGATGATTCTCATTCCTTGTATTCTTGTGATGCTCCTTTTACAGGCTGGATTTAGATACCACCATGCTGAACCTGATTACTTGATGCTTGCATATTGGATTCCCAATACTCCTGATACCCTTCCTGCAAATGCTTCACATCGCGTTGCTATTGGTGCTTTTGTCATGAATACCAATAACGAGGTAACTGTTACATATATTAATATAAAATCATTAGTATGGACATCACTTACCAGTTTAAAATTTTTGAATTAAAAAGATTCATTATAAAATATCAGCTTTTGCGTTGAAATGTTTTTTTTTATAGGAACCCTTCATTGATTCCCATTGTTCAATGGTTCAAGATTATTATTATTATTTTTTACTCTCTCTTTAGCTCTAAGAGGGAAAGCCTTGGAGAAATGGAAGTATTGTTTTTTTGTGATCAACGATCACGAGTTCGAATTTAGATGATATTTTTAAAAAAAAAAATATAAGGATAAAGCTGTGCACAATCAACCTTCGTCTCTGATCTCACTAAGTTAAATGAATCTTGTGGAATTTCCCTTTTCCTCTTTTTAGCTGTCACAAACCAAAGCATTAGGGAACTGGCTGTTGCTTTCATGGCTGAAGTTTTAACTTTGCTTCCGGAAAATAGAATGGGAAAACAATAAACGTTTGACTTTACTTTTGTAGTTATCGTAACTTAAAAATATCTTTGACACGTCGTATGACTTCATGCATGGAATTTACTTTCTTGCAAATAAGTGAAACCTGTTACAAAATCTTAATAATAAATTAAATGTTTAATTTGTCTTTTAACAAGTATTTGGAGTACATGGTAATCTATTATGGTATATTTCTTGGGACATATGAAGTTAAGATCACAATTTGATTTTGATCCTTCTCATTTTAAATAAGAAATTACAAGTCCACATACAAGGAAGGATGTGTGTGAGGAAATATTAATAAGGAAAATTTTCAACTCAATATCTGTAGTAAAAAACATTTATTTATTTTTTTGGAAATAAAAAAAAATTATTTTCATTACTATCTAGAATAACTATTTGTAATAGCTTTCACTAGCACATGACAATCAGAGGTCAAATTTTTTATTTGACTACTGTTGTACTTTTATGTTAGACTGAAAACCATATTTCCAAGATGGGTTGTAATGGTCTTTTAATTCATCAAATTGTTTCCTTTGTTCACGAACCTGGAGTCAATCTCTGCCTTGATTTTGTGCTTATTATTATTATTGTTTTTTTTGGTAGAGATTTTGTTCTTATTTATCCTATTACTTTTTGGAGCAAGTTATATTTACAAACTTTTTTGTTTACAAACTCTTACAAATTACACTAAGTACGCAGTGTACGACCAGTCATACTTAGTGTAATTTGTAAAAAAAAATTGTAAACAGATCCTATCCCCACTTTTTGTGCTGAAATATTGTGTTTTGAGTAGTGAGTCAATGGTCATCCATAATCCTTAATAATACTTTTTTCTTTTTCTTTTTTAATTTGATAGGTGCTTGTGGTTCAGGAAAGCAATGGTAGATTCAGTGGCAGAGGAATATGGAAGTTACCTACTGGAGCTGTTAATGAAGTATGTTAAAATGATTATTCATTATTAAACCTTTTTAAAATTTAATTTTTTTTTTATTAATTTGAATTCCATTTGTAGGGTGAGGATATCTGTACAGCTGCAATTAGAGAAGTCAAAGAAGAGACAGGGGTAAGCAAAAGCATAATCAAATATAGTTTAACCATTCAATATTTTTTCAAACCCTTTCAAAGTCTAAGGCCACTGGTTCTATTCTTCTTTCAGATAGAAACAGAGTTTGTTGAGGTTTTAGCATTCAGGTAAGAGTTGTGGGAACATTACCATGGATGACTATATTTGGTGTTTTGTGAGAATTAACATCAGCATATTACACAAGAACCATTGGATTGACCCATAAATAATTTGCGCTTCAAATTCAATCTTGTATATGGTGGTAAATGATCTTTGTATTTGTGGTATCAGGGAAAAGCATAGATCTTTCTTCCAAAAATCGGACTTGTTCTTTGTTTGTATGTTGCAACCTCATTCCTTTAATATTCAGAGGCAGGTTTCAGAAATTGAGGCAGCTCAGGTATATGTTCTAAAGCATTCAATTACGGGGAATATGTTTTGTCAATGAGACAATTTTATCTTATCCAACATATAGAAAAGTGGGTGAGATAAAAAGAAAAAAGAGGGTCTAAAGATGGCAAAGCAGATGCCCCGTTCTGCCCGCTATCAACCCACCAAAAAATAGCCAATCCGCTTTGTCCCACTTTTAAAAGTGAGTTAAAAAATTCTGCCCAAAGGAGGACTTGTTTTGCATTTAAAAAAAAAAATCAAAAACAGATTAAGCTAGTTGGCGGGTTAGGCGGAGCTGGTCAGCCCGCCGGACCAAACCCGTTTTGCCGGCCTTAGTGCTACCTGTTTTATATATGTGCATGAGACAACAAGATAAAAAACATATTTTCCTTCAATTATTCATGTATAAGACCAAGTTGAGTGGCATTCTACTAATTTAGCTTTCATCCTTCCTCTCATACCTAAAATTTTTTATGAAGCTCTTTGTTGATAACAGATATGATTCTCTCATGTCTTGTTTTAACATGATCCTATCATATGAAATATATCAGCCAATCATTTATAGACTAACGGTCATCAATTAAATGAACAATTTTTGCTTTCTCCTTTTATGAACTTCATCATTAAAATTGATCTATAAATGAATGATTGAGATATTTCACATGATATAATTACATTAAAATAAGATATGAGAAGTTTCATTTCCGCTATAAACTATGTTGAAAGTGGCACAAAAAAACTTGTAATTTCACTCCTAATAGATGTTGACATTGCCAATTATTCTAATGTGATTTTTTTTTTTCTTTTCAGTGGATGCCAATTGATGATTATGTTGCCCAGCCTTTTGTCCGAGAAAATGAGCAATTTGACTTTCTTACTAAAATATGCTTATCAAATATGGATGGGAAGTACAGTGGCTTTTCTACACTACTTACTAATACATCCTCTTCAAAGAAATCCTATTTGTATTTCAACAAGAAGGATGCTGGCCGCTTGTTAGCTTCCAAAATTTAACAAGCTTGACTCGGTAGTATACATCATTATTTGAAAATCATTTAAAACTTAATTATTAATTGTTGTTAGCATTGCACAGAAATCACTACATTGCTTCCACAAATAGGAATAATGTTGTCAATTTACTATTTGTTCATTTTATCAAGTCTTTCATTCTTGGGTGGAGGACTGCTGATTTGTTAATTTAGTTCTTTAATAAATCAAAAGTCAAGTGTCAAACATACTTGTCCATCTTGGGGATTGTATTGTAATAGGCTACGGTTGATTGTTGAAGTAATAAGAATCACCTTTCTTCTTCCTTCTTTTTCTCTCTCTCTTTTATGTATGATCCTATATCCCTGCAACTTCAATATATGCAGTTTTAAGTGTTATACCTAGTTACTACTTTCGTTTGCAATTACTTTAGATTTTCACCATACATAATTTGATGAGTAGAAATTTATTTTATGTAGTTGCGGTGACAATTTTCACCATGACATGGTGTTAACACGACACAAGAAATTTGTGTTCAGGTCAACCCGTTTTCACATTCGTTATCGTATTTGTATTGATAAAAATTTACACAAAAAAACTGTGTCATGTTGTATATCAACCCACAAATGCGAAGTTGACCTATGTTAATTTTCTTACATGTTAATAAGTGATAAACATTGAGGTTGGCAGGTTATTCATCCGTGTTATGTCACCATGTATAATAAGTAACACATTGAGATTGATAGGCTATTCTTGTCATGTCGTGGTGTTAACCCGTAAAATAAGTGGATTGTGTTCGTGTCATAAATTTTGACCCGCTTTCAAATTTATATCATATTTGTGTTAAGTGTATTCATGTTCATATCAAATTTTTGTCTTGAATATTGACCATTAATTTTAAAGGGAATGTATGTCATAGGAGCATTAAGAAATTAATTTATTAAATCTTGGATTGTAAGAGCTATTACCAGTTCTCAATATTAATATAACCTTTGATGACAAAGCAATTAACAAATATGTAATCAATTTGTGAAACGGATCGTTCAAGCAAAGAATCAGTGGTATACTTTGGTCGTCGCGGGAGGCAATCTAATTTTAAAAATCAAAATTAATATTAAAAGTGCTATCACCAATTTATTTATTTATTTTGGTAAAAAACTATATATCACCAATTTTATTTGATTAAAAGCTGAATTAATAATAAATAATTTGGAATTGACAAAAAAATCGAAGACAATAAAAATATTAATACGAATCAAAAAAAATAAAAAAACAACAAAAATAATGGCATTTACAAGTGAAATATAATAACAACACGTATTTATAAAAAAGAAAAAAAACACGTAAACCAATATATTTAGTTATTTACTACTCAAAGAAAAAAAAAACGAAAAACTAAATTATAAAAGTTTATAGTTTGACATACTTAACTTCCTATGTATGGAATAAAAAGTTCTTTCAAAATTAAATATATGTTTGTTAATTGCTAAAAAAAAGGGAAAAGTTAAAAACCCTATGTGATTTCCCTTATAATCATTTACCCCTTGTGTTTTGTTTTTAATCAATTACCTATTTTATAATTTTTTCCATTCAACAATTAGATTAAGTTCTCCATTTTACCCATGTTAAAAATTACCACTGTAGGACTCTAATCTTTTGTGTCTATCTTCTCTAACGCTCCCTTTTTTCTTCTCTAATTATTGGATTTCGATAGTCAAAGAATGACCATCAAATTTATCTGAAACTTAGCTTTTTTTCCCCTTGTTTCGCTCACACACGTGGCAGATGAATTATTGGTTTTACGAAAGTTGATGTGAAAAAAGTTTTTACGTGTAATCAACCAGTTTGACAACATGACACATGAGAGAGTTTTGGATTTATTAAAAATGTGAATACTCAAAACTAGCAACTAGATCAAGTTAAACTTTACGCATTGTCTTATCCGTATAAATGGTATCAAATAAAAGCTACCAAATATCTTCACTATATGCAGTAGTCATAGCATTATGTTACACCGTCTCATATATGTCTCATCCCCAATTCGCCATCTTTAGCATGTGCTTATGATAAGAATTGAGAATGAAAATTATAGAGAATGAAAATTATAGAGAATGAATTGAGTGTGTATTAATATTAAGTCAACAATTTATATATCAGAGAATGAATTGAGTGTGTTGTTATTAATTAAGTTAACAATTTACGTACATGATAAAACAAGTATAACTAACTAAAATCACTATTAACTAGCTCTATTATGTGTTGGGCTTCCTCCTTCAATGCTAAGCTCAAGTCTATAGAGGAGTTTCCTAAAAATCCTAAACCCTAGATCTCACCTCGTCTATATATTCATTAGTTGTGGGTGGAGGCTAGGTTAGATGAAGAAAAATATTTGAGACTCTCTTGAGTGATACTTGAGAGATTTGAGAGCAAAGCTCTACGCTTTGTGTTTGAGAGATCTCTAGAGAGTTTGAGTGAAACATCTCTAGGAAGGTTTGATTATCACCATTGTTGGAGAGGTTGAGTTAACCACCACATTGGTGAATTTGATTATTTGTAACCATTATTTTCATAGTGGATTGTTGACATGGACTAGGTCCCGTGAGTTTTTACTTCTTCATTGAAGAAGGTTTTTCCACGTTAAAATTTGTTTGCGTTCTTCTCTCTCTCCTGTTTGTGTTTTTGATTTTCTGTTGCGCTGCCCGACCTGGTGAAGTTCAGGTCAAGGTATTGCCGAGATCCGAGATCCAGGATCTCATTGACTGACTTCCGCAAAAGGCCCCTAAGCCGAGCTTGAGGGAACCGAGTTCCCAACAGCGGTATCAGAGCCCGAGTTCGACGGGTTCTGAGGGAGACGAGATGGACACCAGTGGCATAACCAATGACAGAGATATGTTCAAGCTGACCGCAGACAATTTCACCTATTGGAGACCGATGATGGAAGATCATCTCTACTGCAAAGATTTACACGAGCCCATTATCCGCGATGGGAGACCGGAAGGAAAAACTGATAAGGAGTGGGAGATCCAGAGTCGTAAGGCGGTAGTTGCGATCAGAAAATATATTGACAAAAGCCTCTTTGAGCACGTGTCCGAATTTACGAACGCGTACGAGTTGTGGACGAAGTTGGAGTCCATGATTCAGAAGAAGACTCCCAGGAACAAAGCACACCTGGTTCTCCGACTTGTGAAGTTGGAATATAAGGACGACATGAGCATGAATGAACACCTCAACACCTACAAATGTATTGTGAATCAGATGTCAAAGGCTGAGATGAAAATTGATGACGAGATGCAGGCCTTGCTGCTGTTGAGCTCGCTGCCAGAAAGATGGGATACTCTAGTGGTGACCTTCAGTAATTCGACTCCAGATGGAAAATTGAAGATGGATGTCGTGACAGACAGCCTCCTAGGCGAAGAAGCCAGGAGAAGAGAACGAGGTATTTCGAGCACGTCTGAGGCCAACGTTGCTGAGAACAGAGGGAAATCCGACTCCCGGGGTAGAAGAAAGAGCCGGGGTCGAGATCGTGATAGAAGAGGAAAGTCCAGAGGTCGGTCAAAACCGAGATATGAGTTGAAGTGCTTTTACTGTGGAAAGACAGGTCATAAGAAGCCAAACTGCTGGACTTTGCAGAATTATGAGAAGAACGGCTCTGTGAAACCAGATCAGATTATTCCCAAGAAGAGGGAAGACAAGAGCACCACTGATATGGCTGCCAACTCGAATGCCGAGATATTCCTCCTAGGTGAGGATAATTATTTGAATCTTGCATATGATGACTGCACCTAGATTGTTGACTCTGGTGCCTCCTTCCACATTACTCCACACAAAGGTTTTTTCTCCTCTTACCGAGGTGGTGATTTTGGAGTCGTGAAGATGGAAAATCAGGTGACCAGCAAGATTGTTGGTGTCGGTGATGTAACCCTGACTATAGATGTCAGATGTCGACTTGTGTTAAAGGATGTGAGGCATGTACCTGACATGCGTTTGAACCTAATCTCGGTAGGCAAACTTGACGATGTCGGGTTAGTGAACTACTTCGGTAGTGTTAGATGGAAGCTGGCCAAGGGAAACTTGGTCGTGGCCTGAGGTAAGAAGGAAGGCTCCTTGTACGTGATGCAAGGAAAGATCAATGGCGGAGAAGCCAATTCTGTCCGAGATGAACCTAGCTTGGAGCTATGGCACAAACGCCTCGGCCACATGAGCGAGAAAGGGCTCCAGATCCTGAACAAGAAAGGATTACTGACCGGGTTGAAAGGCCAATCGTTGGAGAGTTGCACGCACTGCCTAGCTGGAAAGCAGCACCGGGTTTCTTTTGTGAGATCGGATCAACCCAGACGACGCAGGTATATTCTTGACCTCGTCCATACTAATGTCTGCTCCATGTCGGAGAAATCCCTTGGAGGAGCTCAATACTTTGTTTCATTTATTGATGACCATTCCCGCAAAGTGTGGGTATATTTGTTGAAGTCTAAATACCAGGTACTCCAATCATTTAAAGAATTCCATGCAATGGTTGAAAGGGAGACTGACAATAAATTGAAGGTGGTCCGATCTGATAATGGTGGTGAGTATTGCGGCCCATTTGATGCATACTGCGGAGCGACCGCGATCCGACTTGAGAAGACGCCCCCCAAGACTCCACAGTTGAATGGACTTGCTGAGAGGATGAATAGAGCTATTGAAGAGAAGGTCTGAAGCATGTTATCCAATGCTGGATTGCCGAAATCATTCTGGGATAAGCCGTCAGAACTGTTGTTGACTTGATCAACCTCTCACCATCACGGCTACTTGAAGGAGAAATTTCAGAAGAAGTCTGGACAGGTCGGAAAGCGGCCTATAATCAACTAAAGGTGTTTGGATGCCGAGCCTTCGTGCATATTCCTAAAGATGAAAGGGCAAAACTAGATGCGAAGATAAAAGAATGCATCTAACTTGGTTCGCCGAGATGTGAGTTCGGGTTCCGACTTTGGGATCCAATCAATAAGAAGATAGTGAGAGGCCGAGATGTGATCTTTCATGAAGATGAG